GTGGCCGGGATGCGATGCCCAGCGAGGATGAATTGATGCCCGGCACGGATGGAGCAACGCCCCGCTTGGATGGAGCGGCACCCAGCCGGGACGATGCACATTTGGTACGGAGGGATGCACGGTTGGGCTGGGATTGGGAGCGGGATGGTGATGGGAGCACGGTGGGGACAAGAGTGGAACGGCAGCGAGGGCAGAGCACAACAGGGATGGGCGCCGGTTGCTGGGGACAGGAGCCCGCTGGGGACAGGAGTGTGATGGCAGCGGGGAGGGGAGCACGGCGGGGACGGGAGCACTATGGGGATAGCAGCACAGTGACAGTGGGGACAGGAACGCAGCACGCTCCCCCAGGCACCCAAAACCCAAAACACCCGGAGATAAAAATCTCCTTAATCATAAAAGTCTCCTGCCCCAATTTGTTATGTATCCCCAGGACATCCCGAGGAGGGTCTGCTCCCTTTCGGTGCTCGGGTGGGTCCGTGCCGTGTCCCCTGGCATCGGGACACCCCGAAGAGCTGCAGCCGCCGTGCCCGGAGGGCACGAGTGATGCGGCGGCCACACACGTGCTGAGTACATCGGTTCTCAGCCTCCACTCAAGGCGGCGGCGAAATCTCTGGGAGTGTTTCGAGGAAACGCCACCGGCCATTTCGCAACGCCCTCCTCGCATGTCGCCAGGCCTGAAGCCGCGCCATAAAATGAATGAAGAGCCCTTCCAGTGCCAACACAACCCGCAGCCACATCTGCGAAGGGAGCGCAGCCGGAAATCCAGCCGGAAGCATCACAAATGTCGGGGAAAAACAGGGACCTGCGAGTCCTGTTCATGCCTTTCAGCTCTTAAACCTGATCTCATCATCCTAATCCCACCGAAGCACTTTTTTTCCGGTTGATTCAACTGTAAAATAATCTTCTCTTCCAAAAACTGCCCACGTCCTTCGACGGCAAGGCCCCAGCATCTCTGCCCTCCAGGATCGTGACCCCGGTGTCTTGCACCATCGCTCCACGGATTTCAGTTTGTTTGATGAGGCGAAACACGTGCCAAGGGGGGAAAAGGGGAGGAAATCTTTGGGGATTCAGGTTTCCAGCACTGCTACAGCCCTGGAAATCCCTGGCCAAGATTTAGGCTTTCTTTTATACCTCAGCAGTGAATTGGAAACGGTGTAAAACGCGGATGGGTGGGGAGAGCCGTGACCGTGATAAAGCTCTTGCTTCCAAGCAAGAAGATCTGCGGTAACTACGAGCCTCTCCCTCTCTTATTTGCTTTTTTATTGAAGCAGATTGATAAAATTCCCTGGATCTGGGCGCCGCTGGAGACTTGCATGCAGGAAAAAACAACATCTGTCTTCTGTTTTTCCTGTTTAATCCAAGGAGAAGTTCACAAGACTCTCCCAGGATGGCCAAAAGCATCTCTCCGCTTGTCTCCGCTCCCTCCGAGCTTTGCCAGTTGAGTTTTCCCACTGACGTGTCAGCCCAAGCGCTCGAAGACTCGTCGCATCGTTAGCTGACCGCCCAGACAAGCTGCGGTGCCGGGTACCGGCCTTCTTGGGAAAATACCTCCGGCTGCCTTATTTCCATCCGAATTCCCTGCATCCCGCTGATTATTAGATTGCCAGGTTGAAACGCGTGCACAATATTCTTTTTTTTTTTTCTATTTGCGTGATCAATTCATGTTTTCTCTTTGCTTTTCGGCTTTCTCCGCCAGTGATCTCAAATGCTGCCGGTGCGGGTGAGCTCGTCCCAGCACGTCGGGAAGCAAACCACGCAGGCGCCGGGCATGTGGCCGGGATGAGTCCCGGGGATGGCGACGCTGCCGTGTGCTGTCGTCCCACGTCGCGGAGACGTTCCCCCTCCAGCTTGCACACAACTAGACACCAGAGAATCCACAGCAAGAAAACGTGACTGTTTTTCTTAGAAAATTATCAGCAAAAGGGCCAGAGCGGCGCTCATTTTCTGCTAACGGTTTAAAAACCGTAAGCCAAAAAAAGCGGAGAAAAGAGACATTTCGGAAGTCTGTGCCCAAGACTGGAGAATTCACAAGAAATGCCAAAACCACAGAAATAAATGAAACTTTTTCACGTTTTTAACTGAAAAACATTTTACAATCGATTGGCTGTGCCAGGGATGGAAGGCAGGAGAGGACGTGATGTCCAGCACAAGCAGCACGGGATGCATCAGCACCGCCGGTGCCAGAGGGGCTGCGGCACCTCCCGAATCATCCAGCAGCTGAATTAAAAGCAATACATATTTTTCCTGTCCTCTAACACCCCAGAAAACCACGTTTTCTGCCCCAAACGACAGTCCCGATTGCATCGCAGCTACCAGGAACGTTGTCTGCAGGTCCGGGACGGGGCCGTCGGAGGGTATTGCCTTCAGGGAAAGCTATTTTTAGCCTGTTCCTGAGACGTGCCCGGCAGCGCACGCAGCTCTTCTGCCTTATTTTTGCTGCTGGAGTCATTTTACAGCCCTCGTTGCACCCACCAGCTGTTTAGAAATAGGAACAAATTCATTTTCTAGGGCTGTGCGGCTTCATCAGCAGATGGGAGCCTGCAGAAGGGAGAGCGCTAAAGCTGTCCCGAACCTCTGCAGTCCCTTCCAGCCTTATTTCCTGCGCTGCCACGTGAGCCCTTCACGATTCCCACGTTTTCAGTTAATTCAAGATTTCCTAATGGTCTCGCCGCCACCGCCAGCGGCTCCCGGGGGCTGTCAGCATCGCCGGCTCCTCCCCCGTCCCTGCTGGGCCGCGACAGTGATTTTTCCCAAAGTTGCTTTTGGAGAGGCGAGACACGGTGTGGCACCCCCGGTCCGGCGGCGATGCTCGGCCGTGGACAAGTCACAGTCCTGTGGAAAACCTACTGTCCCCACCCGGGGTGAAATCCTGCGGCGACCCAGCTCCCATGGGTCCACCTCACGGACCCTAAAAATCAGCCCCAGCCTCTCTGGAGGTGGGGAGGCGGCGTGGGCACCCGGGGAGGGAGGGAGGGGGGTGCAAGG